CCCCGGGTGCAGTTCTTCTCAGTTCAGTGGCACCAATTGTTTTTCCTTTCTCTAGGGGTTGATTCCTTGTCCATTCGTTTCAACCATCGTTCTGTTAAAAAACCGGATCTGTTTCCCCTGGGTTTTTGATGGTTTCCTGAAAAGAAGGATCCCTGGAAAGAATGGGGAAGGTACCCCTAGACTTTCTTCCTTTTTTTTGGGGGGGGGGGTGGCTGCCCCACTAAAAATCGTGTTCCCCAAAAAGGGTTTCCTTTGTTCCTAGGGTCACTGAACCACTCAGTCTTTGGCCTAGGTTGGTTTCGGTGTCCTACTGTGGATGGACGAAATTCGTTTCGCACCACCTAAGAAACCATGGTTTAAGCCATTGCTGGTTGGTATTTACAGGGGCATCATGATTCCAGGGTTTCTTTTGTCTTTGCTCGCAAACCTGGACCTTCCTTTGTTACATAAATTTGTGTCACGAAAAACAAATGGAAAAAGAACTGCTTTGGCCAACTATTTTTGCCCAATGATCCAAAAAGTGCTCGTCCCCCCAAAAACGCTTCTTTCATGAACACGGGCTTCTTGCAAGTACCAATTAAGCATGATTTGCATTTGCGCTCGTTTTGCGGGTATTTGCGCCCGGTATTTGAGCCCGTTTTGCGGGTATGTTTCCACGTGTCCACGCAACAAACTATATGAGGAGAGAAGCCACCGCAATAGCCCAAAGTGCTCGAATCCAGATTTGCGCCCGTTCCCCCCAAAAAACACACGATTAGCAAATGTTTGCCAAGGGGCACAAATTTATCCGGGGTGTATGGGTTGAAAAGAGCCAGCAAATCTCAAGATGGGTTGATCCCCCCATCCAAAGAACAAAACCACAGGCCGCCCTCGGCCCCGCGCCCTTTGGTTCGCCTGCCATCAGAGACCGAAAACGCACGTGGCAGGAGTGTCTCGCACAAACAGGCTCAAAGACGGTGCCGTGGCAGAAAAGACGGCACCGGGAGGATTGCCGGTGATGAGTCTTGGGGCAAAAGCGATCGAAGATCCATGATGTAGGGGGTGTTTTCTTGGGAGTTCCTGGTTCACGGTTTCAGGCTTTGGATTCATGGTGGATGTTGCATTGCAAACTGCTGATGAAAAGAAAGAACCTTCGGTGGGGTCTGCCATGAATGTCCTTTGTGTCACGATGGCAAAAAGAGGTTTCAGGGTGCCAAAGGTTCCTTCCATTGATTTTCAGGAGCCAAGGTTTCATTCGCCATAATCCTTCCGAGTTTTCGCCCTAAGGCTGGGAATGGACCGAAACGCCAATGGGAGCATTCGGGGGTTGGCTTAAGGCAAAGGACATGTTGAACTTCTATTTGCAGAGTGGTGGAATGCGGGGGTGGGGAGGATTTTTCTTTTGGGGGGGCCTGGATGCTTTTATGAACGACTTCCTGCTTTCAGCCACAGAAGTTTACAAGCATCAAGCTGAAGATCGCATGAACAACCTTTCGGCTTTGCGGCGGTCCATGTCCTAGCTGTGGCAATATGCAATGTTAGCTGCCCACAAAGGGGCCACAACCAACACTTAGTCTAGGTCCCTCAGTAGTGCCCCTTTACCCTTTTTTTGGGGAGGTTCCCCTACTAGGCTAGGAATGAATCCCGTTGCCATGAATAAGCTTGGTAGACTCCTCAAGGAACGGGGTTGAATATGATGAACAAAGACTGACCTAATTCAGTACTTGTTCTCGGCACGATGTACTTTATTTGATCCAAGTCTCCTCTCAGCTTGTGCTCAGTAGGGAATGACCTTCCGCGTTTGGGGAATGAACCTAGGGATTCCCTTGAAGGAAACCACAGGGGATAGTTTTTCTGGTTTTTCGGGGCCATTCCATTTCTGATAGCCTAAATTGATTATGCGTGCAACCTGTAAAAATCGCCAAAAAGCATCAATCATCGAGGGCCTAATTAGTTTAGGCTGGCTGGCACTTGAGAAAGGTTCCGCTCCCTTGGCCGCCTCCATTTGGATATAAAGTTGCTTAGCCTTCCAACAAACGTGGGTTGTTTGCCCCTTTGGCCCATGAATGCGTAGCCAACTAGGGGCCCGATTAGAAGAGACTGACGCCCTTTGATTAGGTGTGGCTTAACTCCCCTCTCTCACTTGCCCAAAGCCGATCTTGTAGCATGTGTTGCTCTAATTTGATCCATATTTAGTAGAGGTGATCACCTTTTGTTTCCAGGTCCTTTGGGCATGGTGGCTCTGTGACTACAGGAAATCAGTTTCATTTTGTTGCACGGGACTTAAGCAAATGGAAGAATTGATTTTGTGCAGGGTTGGCCCAGTTCCAGTTTCAAAGCGAAACCTCATAACCCTGGAATTACTTGGGCGCCCGTTTTTGTTCCCCTCGATAGAGCGGCTCTTTTGGGATAAGCGAAAAGCGTGCCAGGCACCAGTTGGGTGGTCTTGAAGGGAGCCCACTTTTTTGCGAGCGTCCCCATTTTCAAGCAAGCCCATGTGGCATCCCACTGGCATCCATGGCCAGTCCAATTGGCTTTGACTTATGTGCAGTCTTTGGGATTACATATCATGAGACCTCAAATCATGTGAGTCAGGGGATACTAAGCAAGGAGGGCCCCAAGTGCAGATCTACTTGTCCAAGCCCACACCTCCCATGGTTCTGATTTAGGCCTCGGGATCATCCCTTACTCAAATCGCCTGGGGCACAACTCAGCTGGTTCTGACTCGGGTCATTTGGCTGCGAGTCAATTTATAAGGTCCCGGAACCCACATGCGATCCAGACCTCCGTTCCAGACCTCCGTTCCAGACCTTGCCTAGAAACATGTTCCAGACCTTCCGTTCCAGACCTTGTTTATGTACAGGTCTAGTTTAGAGTATTGATTCAGACGGTCAGGTGATTTGGTAGGTTATTGACCCCCCCAATACTACGCGTTAAAGCTGGTGTTCGAGAGAAGCTTGAGGTGCTTACGATAGGATTTGCTTGTTGAGCTTTGGTGGTTAGGGCTGCGTGGCTTCTAATCATTGGGACTTGGATGGAATGTGGCAGAGGTTCTGTTGACAGATGTGTTTAGGGTCAACCCCACCGCTATTTGTTCGATACGATACGGTAACGGTTCGATACGATACGGTAACGGTTCGATACCGCTCTCAGTCGTCACATGGTTGAAACGACCATGTTTACATGCTGCTTGCTAGCATTCCCAAGTGCAAGCCACTCGCGTAACCGTTCCAGACCCCGTTCCAGACGTGTTCCAGACGTGTTCCAGACGCAGCGGAGCAATTTGCCACCAAGCCCACATGCGTGCACATGCCCCATGTAAGTAGCTGCACTTCTTACGCGGCCCAAGAAGCCTTCAAGGAGGTGCCGTATGGTAAGGCCGCGCGCCCCTGGTCGCTTCATCCATCCATCTACCCATCCATCAATTCATCCATCCATCTATCCATCTTACACTAAATGAACTGTGCTTGAGGACTCCACACATGTCTTCCCAGGGGTCTGGAACAACCAAACTTACGTAACTGACTCGTTCCAAACGTCCGCGTCACCGCGGAACGTTCCACACCAGAATATTGACCCACACCCATTTGGCAACCAGAGGTGAGACGCAACAGGACATGAGACGCATGGCAGACAAGCTTTTTAGCTGCAACGGCCAGAAAAGGCAATGCGGGGGATGGCAGGAAAAGGCATACGAAGGGGCACATCCGTATCAGGGGAGAGCAAAGTACCAAGGCAGTGCGGGAGTCGCCCTTCCATCACCTAACGGCCATAGGCATACGAAGAAACGCCGCACCCGGATTGACTTTCGGCTTCCCTTGGCCCCGTGTTCTCGGGCTGGCCGAAAAACCTCAGGTGCTGGCTTCTAAGGAGGCTGGGGATCGGACCTGCGGATGGTGAGGGTTTTTTCATGGGAAACAGTTGGTAGATGTGTGGATGTACCCCTTGAAGGAGCCCCGTCTTTGCAGTTGGCATGTTTTTAGTTGTGTTTGCTTGTTTTTGGTTCGATTCATGCTTTACTGTTTGCATGCTTGTTTGTAGTGTTTGATTGTTTGGTTGTTTGTTTGTTTGTTTGGTTCTTTTGCTTGCTGGCTTGCTTTTTTGTTTGTTTGTTTGTTTGTTTGTTTGTTCGTTCGTTCGTTTGTTTGGTTTGTTGTTGGTTCTGTTTATGTTTAGTACGGGTCGCATACGCACAAAGTTTGTGGCTGTACGTACCAAGGGTTGGAAAGCTGTTGTTTGTCAAATACTTCCGAGTTATGAGCCACAACAAACGATGAACCTAGCGGAACAATGGCCAGTGTTCACTTCAGATTTGGGCCTGTTGGAGGTGTCTTTGTCAACGGCGAGTGAGTAGGAGAAGCAGGAGGGTTAGTGTTTAGACAACTGACTGTGATTGAGCTAACGCATCGCCATTTGAAAGTGGCGGCAGATGCTGCAGATCCTTGCAGGCTGAAGGCGGCGCTCCACCAACGACGCAGCGCGTTGCTGCGGAGGACGCCGACGAGTTGGTGCTGCCGTAACGGAGGCCGAGACCATTTAGCAAGTGCTGGCCCTCCGCTTCCTGGCCGACTCCCAAATGCGAGCCCTTAGGGGCTCCAACATCTCCCCCTGCCAGCATCACCTTGCCCATCGCATGTGCGCTTTACCTTCTTCGCGAAGTCTACGCGAGCGGATGACATCGCGGCAGGCTTCGCTGCGGGAGCAATTGCCCTCAAGGCGCTGGACACGCTACGCAGCGATGACCTGTATGACGGTGACAGCCAGCCAAAGTTTCATTGTTTGTGGGGGTTGGTGGTTGGTGTTTGAAACAAGTCAGCAGTCAGCGCAACACGCAATGCTTGTGTGGGAATCAGTGTGTGTGTGTGATTAAAATCAACATGTAATTAAGCTGCGTTTGATTTGACAAATCCTTTTGGTGAACGACTGTGGATTGGCCGTTCATGTTCAGAAGAGGAATCTCCTTTTTGTGGGTCACCGCTTTTAGGTTTCATGTCAATTTGCCGGGCAAAGGTTGCCAGCTTATGGCCGTGACGCATTTGCACAGTGGCATCAGACCTTTGCCCTAAGAAATGCCCCGTCTCGCGGAACCTGGGCCTCCGAAATAGAGGTGCCTCTGACCGGTCCGACCGCAAGTTTGTTCGATGTGAGTGGGTGTACATGTGCGTTTTTGGGTGTGCGTGTACGTGTTTTTTGCGGGTATCCTTTTACAATTTGAAGGGAAGCCAAACGGAACACCAGAGTTTCAGGGGTCCTCAAAATATGAGAAATCCTCTATAGTTCTAGGGGTTGATTTCCCATTCTTTTCAACCATCGTTCTTTCCAAAAACCGCATGTGTCGTGTTTTGTTTGGGGGTTTTTTGTCTTGTTCCCATGTCCCAGGCGAAGAAGTCCAGTGCCGAAGCCAAGCCCCCGGCCCAGTGGGGCCTGGATGGGAAGCCACTTGCAGGTCGGGTTGCACGAAATGGGAGCCCACCGAAATAAAGCAAGCATGCCAGGCAGGCCCAATTTCACCGAGAAAAGTGTTCCATGTGGTTGGAAAGCGGGGACTTGGACGTTGATGAGTGGGGACTTGGGCGTGATGGCCTTGATTGGCGGTTTGCATTGGCGGTTTTGAGGTTGAACCCCCTGGTTCTTGTTGGCAATTAAGTGGGGAGACCTTCACAAAACACCTCCACCGATCCAAACCACCAGCTAGAGGGAAGCTGATTCAGGGTAGCGTCAAAGATCGCGCCCATGTGGGCCTTGAGGCCTGATCTTTGGGCGGCCCGATCCAAGATCTGTCCTTTTTGATGATAGGAGCGGCTTTCATTTGACAACTCTCCCCGGAGACGCACCCAAAGACTTGACCAAGCTGAGGCTTGGGGCCGTGTTCGCCCGATCCTGCGGGCATAAACGCATGAGCACACACACACAATGACACACACACACACACACACACACACGCGCACACACACAGACACACAGACACACAGACACACAGACACACAGACACACAGACACACAGACAAGACACAGACACAGACAAGACAAGACACAGACACACAGACACACAGACAAGACACAGACAAGACACAGACAAGACACAGACAAGACACAGACAAGACACAGACAAGACACAGACAAGACACAGACAAGACACAGACAAGACACAGACAAGACACAGACAAGACACAGACAAGACACAGACAAGACACAGACAAGACACAGACAAGACACAGACAAGACACAGACAAGACACAGACAAGACACAGACAAGACACAGACAAGACACAGACAAGACACAGACAAGACACAGACAAGACACAGACAAGACACAGACAAGACACAGACAAGACACAGACACACAGACAAGACACAGACAAGACACAGACAGACAAGACACAGACAAGACAGACAGACACAAGACACAGACAAGACACAGACAAGACACAGACAAGACACAGACACACAGACACACAGACACACAGACACACAGACACACAGACACACACACACACACACACAGACACACAGACACACAGACACACAGACACACAGACACACAGACACACAGACACACAGACACACAGACACACAGACACACAGACACACAGACACACAGACACACAGACACACACATCCAAAGACACACAAAGACACACGTTGATTTTTTTGTCTGAAAGGCCCACCACAATGGTTTGGTTTCCTTTTGGCTTCCTCGCTCAATCCAACAAATTGCCTTCCTGTTTCTTGTCAAAAACAAGGTGAGCAGATGGTTTTCCATTGTTTCCCTGTACATAAGTGCCAGAAGGGGTCCACTGCTTTGGGGTGGCTCTGGCTGTCTTGCGGGGGAGCTGCCCTACCGTCGGAATAGGCCCTTGCATGTGAGAAACACCTACACATTTGTCTCACCACGGTTTCCGTTTTTGGTTTCCCTCACTCCCGTGCCCAAGGTTTTGGGAAGTCCGTTTTAGCGTGACTGCTATTGGGTTGGATCTTTGAACTTTAACATTTTGGGAAATCAAGGGGTTTTACACTAAACCCCCCAAAAAGTGATCCACTTTTTGCCGGGGGTCAACAACAACCAAGTTAGTAGGTAAACCAAAAAAGTTTGGTTGGTTCTTTCTTGGCCCATCTTTATGGGAAGTGAGTTCCCAAGCCCCGAAAGAAGGGGGATACCGGGCCTCAAAGGCGACTTAGGCCACCCGTCACAGGCCGGAGGAGGGCTGGGAGACCGTCGCGTCCAAAGATGCTCGGAGCCGAGCAAATCGACCGCTCGAAATGACGATGGTTGGTTTTCCGATTCTGGGATCCCATAGGCCTGCGGGTCAAACATAGGACCCAAATGGAACCCTTACACAGTGACTCAAAGTGAAGCAAACCATAAAATATACATTCTATAACTGGGCCTAATTGTAATCATGATATGGCTGTGGGTCAAACACAGGACCCAAGTGGAACCCTGGTAAACGAAAACACGTAATGGACCCTGCGGCCCCCTGGTGACCCATACCCATATAAAAGTCATGGCAACTCAAAGGTCCCTAAGGGGCAACTAAGACCGAAGGAAATTCTGTAGGAAAGGGGATTCCGAATGAGTTCCCACCAAAAACTTCCAGAGTCTCCTGTATAATTTCCTATTGCTGGCATCTTAGAGTCCAGGGATATGTGCATGTCTTGTCCTAAGGATGCCTTTTTTGGGTTTAAAGGGTTCAACGGAAGCCACCCATTTTCGGGTTCCACCCATTTTGTGACATAGCCAAACCAACACCATTTTGAAATCAGCCGTCACCCTTGCCCCCCCCCCCCCTCCGTATTTTTGACACACTTTTGACACGGACCCATGTCGGTGATAGCGCTCTGGAGACGTGATTGAGTTGTTTCTGTAAGCATCGAAGTCTTCATTGGAGGCGAGCAGGAGTCTCCGTGGGCCCCAACAAGGGCGTTTGAACCAAACAAACTCCCAGAGCTCCAGGCTTGCTTTTTCCTCAACGTCTTCTGAAATGAGCCCGACAGAACATAATGGGTAGGGGACTGCAAAAAACAATATCGTTCGCTACTGTTCAACCCTTGGGGGAAACGCCAAACCAATGTCATGAAGCAAGTTAAATTAAATATGTGTTCAGGGCTTGGCTTAGTTTTGCAACGCTTGGTCCGAGCGCAGAGTTTGTGTCCAAGTGGGTCCGACCCTGTTTGGGAAGGATTTGGCAAGCTCACCATTCGGAATCCGCGATAGTAGGCTGATTTGTCATAGTCCCATCTCATGCCGTGTGCATTGCGGACTTTCCCATCCCTTGTCTCTCTCTCTCTCTCACTCTTTCTGTGCTATGTTTTGTCTCTCTGTTAGGAGGGTGGATCGACACTTGGGGTTTGATTGACCCCACCGAGGAGAGATAGCGGATGCTGACTGACCAAGCCTTCGATGCCGAAAGGGGCCGTGGCCGAAAGGGGCCGTGCGCGATGGCTCACTTGCCCAGCGCCAGCCTTGGCCCAGTCCTGCCTTTGGAAAAGTTGGAACCTGACTCGACAGGAACTGCATCCTGACGACAGCTTTCCTTTTGACCATCCGAAGGGGCCCTTCCCCCATCCCAACCACGCTTTTCCCAGTTGGGGTGGGGGTTTCTTGCAGATCAGGAAAACGGGCCCAGGAAAATGGTCTTGGGATATGTGAGGTTCCATGTTAGGTTGATGGGCCCGAAGCGGACAACATGGTGGGCGAAATCCAAGCCGCGTGGGAGAAAACGGCCCCGAGACACGGCTCTTGGGTGGCTCGACTTTTTTGGAAACTTTTTTTGGCGATTGAGCAACAATTAGCAAAAGCAACCACCATTTTTGTTTTGGGGGGGAGGGGTCCCAAAAAATGACGCATCCACTTGGACAGTCGTCTGACACAAAGAGGGCCTGTGCGCTTCCATGAGTTGTTATTCTTGTTTTATTATTTATATGATTAGTATCATTCTTGTTAAGAGATGATATCCCGGAAGAAGTAGGCTGGTTCTTCTTTGAACCATGCTCAACCGGCATGTGGATACCAAGGATATTGGGCGGGGGACATCCTTTTCTTCTGGCTGTTCGCTCGAATATTTACCTCACTGGCTAAGTGGATTCCATTCTGAAATTCTAAGTTTGTTTTGTTGATTCCCCATTAAAATAAAACATATCACAGCATCTTGGATGTGCGACCATCGAGTCTTGATGGTTTAGGTTCCATTCAAGAGAACAACTGGATCCCCTTTTCCACTGCTCGGGTCACTGGTTGAAGCTAACTTCCAGGCCGGATCCATCAGCGACTGGCACCTCCTCCCCCCATGGTCCTCACGGCAAGGGCCATATGGCTGTGTTGTTTTTGAGGGTACCCGTTTTGGGAGATGGAACGGCAAACCGGCAGTGGACTTGATTCCCCCATGCGAAGCCGCGTGTAAGAACGAGGAAAGCTGACCATGCCTTTTGAAGCTGACTGCTTGGAGGTTTTGACTTTGACATGGCCCGCGATGGTTCAAGGTCTGCCACACAACTCTCGCCCACTTTCGGAAAGCTTTGAACACTTTGAAGCTACCTGCGGGTTGGTTGGCCCTTGCAAGCCATTCAGCAACCAGGCTCTTCCCGCTACTTAAGGTTATTAAGAATATGTCATATCCGCCCTGTTGGTTTTACGAGGAGTATATCAAGTGGTTTCTTCAACTGCAGGTGAGCCCACAGAAACCCCTTTGACCAGATCTGAAATATTCCATACCCATTTTTTTCCAGTTCAGTCAGTTGGGTTCAGGCAGCTTCTTTACTCTTGAAATGTCTTTCACATGGCCACTATACACAGGTCTTGCGTTTAGAGCCCTTTCTGGCAACATGACAACTCAACACACAGCTAGGAACCTGTACTGAGGCCAAAAACCCTGTGATTTTGAGGCCGCTTCATCACAGGATGACGCGCCTGCGCAGTTCATGGCCCTTTTGTGGCTGCTGCTGTTCTGGCAATGCCACGGGTGGCAAACTCCCGCGGAGGCGCGAGTGAGCGATGTCTATGTTCAGCTTGGAGTTTCCCTTCACTTCCCGATTTCTGGTTCGCACTTCAAACACTTTCTGGGTTTGGATCATTTTGGTGGGAAACAACAAGTTTGACTTTTTTTCGGGCCATCTACTCAAGAAGTGAGTTAACATAAAGGCGACCATGGTTCTCTTTCTAGTGTTTTTCCTTTTTTTGTTTGAGGCGCTAGGAATGCATCCACCTTACATTCTTGCGACCTCATGGTGTTTCGTTTCCACTTATAGGATAAGCTGAAGGTTTCTTGGGATGCCTCAATTTTGCAAACTCCAAGCCGCCCAGCAAGAGCAGCAGATTCATGCCTCGAGTTGCTTTTTAGTTCGGTGGATCTTCACAAACAAAAAACACGGTCAACCCACCAAAACAAAAGCGGTTCCCGTCTTATCTACAAGGTACACTGGTTGCAACTGAGGCCAGCCCAATTTCACCACATCCTTGGCCGCGGAAAGGGTCTGATGTCTCCGAATGGCTATGGAGCGCAAAATTTGTACCACAGGCTTCGGTGGCCCCACATTTGCACTTGAGTTCCCTCTAAGCCAAGAAGAACATGCCCACCAAAACCACCAAAACCATCACAAACCCAAGTACTCCATTCAGCCGCCACCATTCAACCAACTCCACTCCAAACCTCTCAGCTCCCAAGTCCACCCCCACTGCCCCTAGCCCACCAATTCACATGGAACCTGACGTTCGCGAGGTCCTGGTTTGGACCATTTTCCTGTTCAAGGAACCCCCGAGCTTCATGTGAAAAGGGTGGGTTGTCAATTGGTACCCCAAAATTGCTGAAAGGGCACATCCGCACAAATGCACAACCCTTGGTCCTGGTTTGGACCATCTTCCTAAGGAACACCCTGTCAGGTTCCATGTGATAACGGGGAGGCGAACTCCACCCCACCGCCCCCGCCCTCCCGCTTCGAGCTTCCTTGTTCGTGAGGTAGCGCAGCTTTGGGACCCCCAGACCCTCGCCTCCTTCTCCACCGCGCAGCTCTCGGCCTTCGGCGCCGCGGCGTGTTTTTTTGTGTTTTTTTTTGGGGGGGGGGGTTCGGCGCCCGAAAAGTGACCGAAGCCCAGTTCGGAGCTGAACAATGGACCGGCTGAATCACTCATGGGCTGTGGCTAAAAAGTGGAATCCCCAAAATGGCGTACAGGTGGGAATGCAGACTAAAACCTGTGCAACCCCAGCTGCTTAACTTTGAGCCACACCCGTGTGGCCAAGAAAAGTCGCCAAACGTGTCTTTTTTAATTTGCCACCAAAATGGCAACAAAAAACCCGAGAAGTGAGTAAAGTCCGAGTTCTGGAACTCGGGAAGTGAGTTGGTAAATTTGACATAGGGTGGTGTTTGGCCATGTTTGGCCCCTCCAAAAGTGGTTTGATCCCCCGCTAAACCCAGAAATGGACACCCCCGCTATCCAATAGCTGGGGATTTGCGTTTTCCAGAGTTGTTCCGGGGCAGTAGTTGGAGCGGGGGTGGGGTGGATCCTATGACATTGGAAACCCAAAGGTTTTCCACGTGCGCAAGCTTTTTTTTCAAAACATATTCCCGTGTTGGTGTGACTGTCAGGGGCCTTGACTCAAGCAAATTTGAGCACCATACAATGCAAAAACAGCAGGGAGGCCTTGATTAGGAGATGAGTGAAGACTTCGTGGCCACGAGCCCCTACTAGCCCTGCAATGGCGCTTTTTGCTGCAGTGGATTCCTGCCATATTGCGGCAGGGCTCCTTAAAAGATGCATTTTGCCCATTTGAAACATGGCTTATTCCACCAAAATAAAGGGGAAACACATTCAGAAGGCAATGTTCAGGTGTAAAATGTAAGGATCCCAGTCATTGCGTCACCAAGAGAACGTTCGGAAGCCCGCTGGTTTTGTGGTTGAGTTCGCAGGGGTTTACCTCTTTTGCGCGTACCAGGGGACCTCATGTTTCCAGTTGCGGGTACGGAATGAGTGAAGACCCATCTCTGGCAAAGACTCAGGAAGACAGAGGAGCGGGTATCTTGAAGCCCCCCCCAGATGCAAAACCAAGTTGCCCTCCCTGTTTTGGACCTTTGGGACATCACGACCGGTTGCTTCGGGGGGTGGAGCCAGGATCCAGCATGCCTGGTTGATGGGGTCCCCCGCTTGGAGCTTATTTCGCAGACACCCCGACAAGACCAATACCCTGAATGAAGGAGGTTGCAAAATGGAGCCCGACATGTGTCACCCCCGCCTCCTCCCCCCCAACAAAGAACGCAACATGAATGCAGGTGCGTGCTTTGGCAAGTCACATCCCCCCCAGGCGCGTCCAGTTAGTTTGCCGGAAAGTGAGGCAGCCTGGCGCGTGGCGAATGTCCCCTTCTGAGCCGCGCCGTGCGGTGCACGGCGACGCGACGGAAATCTGCCCCCGCTCCAAAGGAGCCGAGCGGGGAGCGGCTGGGACCGACATGGATTGGCGGAAACATGTGATGTGGATGAGCGAAATCCATTTCGCACCACTTTGCAACTATGGGAAGCCACTGTCTGTTGGATTTTACACGGGGATCGAATCATTCCAGGCTTTCTTAGGTGGTGCAGGAATTCGTCCATCCACAGTATGGAACCAAAATGCACCACTTTGCTGCATTCTTATAGGGGGTCTGAACAATGCACATCCCCAGCTGTTGGGGAAGCCCTTTCTTCACGAAATATGGGCTATAGGTTCATGTTGACCCTGTTGCATGTCAACCCCAGTTTATTTGTATGGGGGTGTCCATTTCTGGGTTAGTGGGGGAAGCAGACCACTTTTGGAAGAGAACATCCCCCTCTTAAAAACTGGTTGGTTGAAATTCATATGGGGTCAACCTGGGAGCCTCCCAACAAGCATGGAAACTGTCCACATCTGTCATTCTTGCAGAGAGGGCAGCCCATAGTGGCTTAGTTATTCCAATTTTGAAAAAAAGAAGCGGGCAAGGAAACAAACAGCAGGGTAATAGTTGGTTTCTTCCAGACCTCTTATTCACAAGCCCCCAGAGCTGCAAATGAACTCAAGGTTGGATCATGGAATTCACCCCTTCCCACCGGTTGTCTGCAAATACATCCGGCTTTCATTTACTGAAGTTGTTTGCTTTGTATAAAATCAAAGCCTGTTGTGCTTGAAGAGGTCGGCCTTTCTTGGGTATCTTCCAGGTTCAGGAAACCCTTGGTTGGTGGCTTGCATTGGTGGCTTGGATGTGGAGTAGACATTTTCCGGTTCTTGTGGAGGGTGAATGGGAAGCCACCCCCAAACTACCAATCCAAACCACCAATCCAAACCACCAATAGTGGGAAGCTGAAGGTTAGGGGGGCTGTTGACAGACCCCAGCTTGCGACTATGTGTTCAGAATTGCAAACAAGCAGCGGCCAGGGAAGAGACGGGATAGTGAATTTCTTGGGAACCATTGGGGACACCTCGCCAGCTTGAGGGATTCTGCCCCGACTCCTCTCTTTCCAAGTCCCTAGCTAAACCCAGCCCAGTTTGTTCTCCTAATTTGTTGGTGGTATAACATGTTTCTCACTTCCTGAGTTCATGAACTTTAAACTTTTTGGGAAGACCACTTTAGTGGTAAATATAAAGTTTGGACTTTTTTTGGGCCATCCACTCAGCCAGTGAGGTTTGCTTTGAGGAGCTTGTTTGGGGATTCCCCTCAGTGATTTGAGGTGGTTGTGCGCACCCCTCTTTTTCCCCGTATGCCCATTGGCTGCCTGGTGGCCAGCCCACTTCATAGGTTCATATCAGTGCCAGTTTTCTTTTGTGGGAGGGGGGGGGCTGATGTGAACAAGAACGCGTGTCTTTGTGGGGGGTTCATTGGAAAACAACAACGCATCTGGTTCAGGATGCATTTATTTCTCGGAAAGTGACTGTCACTCCTGCAAAGGATCAAGAAGTTACCTTCCTTGCAACTCAAGAACATACAACCATGGGGTGTTTCTTAGCTTGATGCCCCAACCGTTTCAGCAATGGTTCGTTTCGAAAGCCAGTTGTTTCCCCTGGTTTAAGTTGGTATCCTGGAAAGATGCGGATCTCTCGAGAGTATGTTTGGAAGTTACACCTGGGGACGCGCATGTTGCCCACCTCCGGCATTGCAAGACTCAACTCACCTGTTTGCCCTTGCGCCCTTTTGGGTTTCCTTGTTCAGCTTTTTACCTCTTGGTTTTCCAATTTTTGTCCATATTTAGTCATGGCCCCACAAGGTGATCCTTTTTTAGTTCCAGGTCCAAACAGGGCAACTGAGAACTTTGTCTTCCCTTTTTACATGCACACATATGGCTTTTTCCAGGGCTCCAAGCCTGGCCAAGGAAAGCGAGTCGCGTGCCTTGGAAGCGCCTGGCCTACGCATACCTGAAAGAGGAGGCGAGCCTTGCCTCGCGGCAAGCGCGGAGCATGGTGCGCCACGTGTGGCGGCAGCTTGGTCAACGAAGGGCGGGAGGGCGGGCGATTGGGATTCCAAGAAGTGGGTGTGTGCGTGTGTGGCAAAAAAATGCGGGACCCCAAAAAACAAGAAGTGTTTGTTGCTTTTGGTTGGCCTTGAGGCCAACCTGAAGAGGTTAGGAAGTGAGTTCTGCAGTTTCTCACTTCCTGAAGTGACTGTATGCAGCTTTACAGTTGGAAGACCATGTTAGGGGAATACGCAGGAAAAAGCAGTTTGGCTCACTTCCAGCGTGTCCGACAGCAATTTGTGTGTGTGTGTCTTTGTTGAGGGCACCCTTTCAGGGGTTGGTTAAGAAGGGAAGCCACGGGAAGCCAAAAAACGCCACACTTTCGGGCGGGGGGGAGTCCCCTTATTTTGACACATACCCAGACCCAACAAACTGTTCGATAGATCATAATTATCGCCTGTTCTGTCCAATCTACCCGGGAAGTGAGGTTTGGGGCACGGGTTCCGGGAAAATCGATTTCAACAGAGAGCTTGAGATCCTGTCCCAAGCAACGGCCCTACACCATTGGAATTGGCTGCTGTGGCTGGGCTGCTGCACTCGTCTTCTGATCCGATCTGTCACGTGTGGGGGCCTAAATAAGATCAGACTGACAGGGTAGTCTTGAAGGACTGGATAGTCCAGGTCATTTACCACTCTGAAGCTGCGAATGCCTCCATAGGCGGAGGCCCGTTTAAGGCTAAATTATGTGAGATCACAGGTTCCCAAGAGGCTGAACAACTCTTAACCTGAGCAACCTTTCCAATTACTTAGCCCCTGACATTACCTCCCCCCCCAAGAAAATCAACGACAAAAAACACACTCAAACACACAACGCACGCATGACGTTGGGAGCCAGGAACTACGAGCGCTTGGGCTTCGGCAAGGACGAGCTGCAGCTCAGCTCAATCGACCGGATTTACTCGTCATATCTCCGCGGCCGGGCTGGCGTTTTACCTTACCTGGTTGCTTTATCTAGTTACTCCAGGTCCCCCAGCTAGGTGCCCTTCTCTCCCCTTCCTTTTTTGGGTGGGAGGGTCGCCCTACTAAAGTGACTACAGAGAAAAGTTGGTACCCTTATTCTAACCTCTCTACTGGAGGACCTATTCTTTTCGTGCGGTGCTGAATGACGTTTGTTGGCGAATTTTGAGTCAAAGTTCCAACAGGCAATTGCCTTTGATTTCCAGGCTTCTGGGCAATTGAGCCACACGTCGTGGCATTTGCCGGGCCACTCACTTCGGGTAGTCGTGCCCCCAAAGATGAGGTGATACCTTTTGAGCAAACCCCAAGCCCCTCGAGGACTGGAGCCATTAAAGTTTCGGGGCACGAGAAAAGGTATGCTCAAAAGCTCTTGGATACATGTCTGACACAGTGCGCTAGGCATTGCTAGGGGAGAAAATAATCAGCTCACACATGAGGTCCTGTAGTAATAGACACATTGTGTCTAGGCATTGCTAGGGGAGAAAATAATCAGCTCACACATGAGGTCCTGATACTGTAGTACTCTGCCCGGGGGCCCATGAATCGAAGGGCAGTTTTGGAGTGTGCATGCTTCCGTCTGGGCTCGAAGGCACGGAGGGTTCATTGCCTCTCATGCTTATCTCACCAAACATAGGCAGTGCAGAGGCTTTTCCGGAATGCCAGAGGTCTAAAACTTCTCTTTGCAACAAGCCGTTTTTTGTTTGTTTCTCTTGGAGGATAAGCCTAATCCACCTCCAGAACCCCCCAAAGGAAATGCTACTTTGGCCAGGCAGCCTACCCAGGATGGCTTTCATGTGCTTAACCCACTTGCCACGAGTCAGTGACTCGGTCATCATTGGATCCGGCCAAAACACAAGAGGCGACTTTCGAGGCTGAACAGTCCGGGGTATTTACCTCCATGTGCTTAAGAATATGTTTTTTTGTGTCCCTTGTTTGTTTCAAAAGGAATTCATCACTACTGGAAATATTCTTTTCCATTTGGCCTTAACCAAATGGAAGTTTAGGAAGCTCATTGGGCCTACGAAGATTCAAACAGAGGACTTTGGAGTAACTGTGACAACGCCCATGAGTTCCATCCATTTCGCGGCGGATTTGATGTGAAGATGGATCCCCTTCTCGAAAGGGGTGTAGAATTTGGGGATTCTGAGCAGCGTGTCTTTTGGAATAAGCCTTAGCTTGGGGAAGCCGTTGTCCGGGTTTTGAAGAACAAGTCCTTCCAACTCAACATGCAACCAGAAAATGCATGTTTTAGGATCGGAGCCTCCTTTTTTGAGGGATTGGACCCACTTGTTGTTGATTCCTTCCATGATTCTTTTGGTGGGCATGGACCCCCGTCTTGTTGCTTCCTCGCGTTTGACACGCGTTGGGAAGTAGCCCACGCCGCAAGTCCGCCGGCCCCGGAACCCCCTCGGCCCCTCGGCCGCATCCCAGGAAGCCGGTGAGCGGCCGGGCGGTGGATAGCTGGGGCGGCGTGGGGCAAATGTTGGTGGACTCCCTGGACACCTTGTGGCTCACCGGCCTCAGGCGCGCGCGCACGCGCGCGCGCGCAAAAACGGGCGATGAAAGGGGCGGGCGGAAAGGCGGGGGCAATATTTTTTTTGGGGTTGGGGGGGGGGGCGAGTTTTGGTTTGGTCGCGTTTTTCTTTTTTTGTGTGTGTGTGTTGGCGGGTTTGAAAGGGAAGCCAAAGGAATATGTTTGTTTGAGTTGGGGGGGGGGATTTTTTTGTGTTGGGGGGGGGGGTTGTCGCGCATTTCTTCCATTTGCTTAAGACTGTTGTTTATTTTCCCCTGTTGGTTTTAAAAGGAACCTGTGACTACTGGAAATAGTTCTTTTTTCCAGGGGGCTTAAGCAACTGAAAGTTTTTGTTGGGGGGGGGGTTGGTCGCACATGTTTGTTGCTTCCGTTTGCTGCAAGGAATGTGTGTTTGGTTTCCCTGCTGTTTTGTTTTGGTTTTTTACAGGGAATCACTACTGGTCACATTTGTATGTTTTCCATGAGCTTAAGCAAATGGAAGGTTGGCTGGTTTGAAAGGGAAAACCAAGGGAATATGTTTGTAGTTGTTTTGCTGGTCGGGGGGGGTCTCCTAAACTCACTTCCCGAGTTCCGGAACCCGGACTTTCGCAGCTTCTTGGGGTTCGGTTGACATTTTGGGTGACAATTTAAACGTGCTCGGCTACTTTTGTTGGCCAGTTCACTCGATCGCAAGTGAGTTGACGAAACGAAACCTGTCGCGGTTGGTGAGCTTCACTGCTCTCCAAAAAGCAGAAAAAACTGTTCCAGGGTGTCTTAGTGGTGGACCTCCTGTTGGTTAGTTGCTAAATATTCAGCTGTTTGGTTGTTCGAATTACGTTCTGGGAAACTGTTGGCCACCTTGAGTCGTAGCCGCCAGATTTAGTAATCGGAAGGCGTCGGAAGGCCTTTGAGTGGGGATTCCTGTCTTCCAGTCGTTTATTCTTGAGAGGTCAACATAACCTTGTGCAACCTTATTACCAAGACTTGCTTGTGTAGATCCTCAACCAAGGGTGAACTAAGCTAAACTTGGACGCATGCCTCTAAGAAACCACCAAAAAGGCGAAGTTCTCCAGGAAATCAACTTCTTCGTGGTTGTTTGGGCCGATCTCCTGTTGGAAAGTTCCCGTAGCCGTATGAATGTTTCCTCGTGTTTTTTTGTTTGTTTCTCGGGGAATCCGACGGCACCCGTGGGTGGGAGTTTGTGACTTGAGAAGGTGTGGGCGTGTAGCTCATCCAACTCATCCAAGAATCGGCACCTTCCAGTTTGGGTATTCGGGGTGTGTGATGCAAAAGGTCCCAGTTGGGGTTGTGGTTTATCAACAAATTCTCAGTTGCCCAAAGCGAATCGACCTTTTGACCTTTTGGTTTTCCAATTTTGGTCTATCTTTAGTAAAGGAACCAACAGGTTAACCTTGTAGTTCCAGGTCCTTTGGGCAACTGAGAATTGCTTGTTCTTTGGGAGGGGTCAACTAATTTCACACTTCGCTCGACTTCAGTTGGCTTTCAGGTACCCCTCGAATCATTCAGGCCCTCGTAGTAGAGATGCTGTAGATGTGCAATAACCATGCGCCAGTTGTGATCGGTGGTATTGGGTTCAATCCATCCTAACTGGTGGGTGTGGGGCGTGGGTTCCCCATCCACACTGTGGAATGGTTGCGAATTCCATTTCGCACCACCAAAGACACCAAGGATGACATGGTTTGTTCGCATTTACATGGGACTCGGCATACCAGGCTTTCTTAGGTGGTGCGAAATGGATTTCGTCCATTTTGCAGCCGCGCGCTCAGGGAGGAGTTCCACAGGGCAGCAGACTGGGTGGAAGAAAGCCTCGACTTCAACAAGGACAAGTGGTGGGTCCAACAAGTCTACCTGGAGTCTCCGTCTGACCCTTTAAAAATGGGTCAATGACCAACCATTATTTTGGGTAGTGACCAACCATTTGTAAGGGTCGGACTGCCATGGAGACTCCAGGTAGGTCCATTCAAGTGAGCCTGAATGAGGGGCTTCGCAGAAAGACAAATATGTGTGGGCTGAAGTGTCTGGTGAAACTATTCTGACCGGATTTTCCACCCCCCTGGTTGGGGGACTGGGGGTGCTCCCATGTGGATCACTCGGATCACTGGGCAGTCCCTTTTCCGCCAGGTTGATCGGCATTCGTGCTGCCTAGAGGCCCCGGAAGTCGGAGTAGTTCGTTCCCCTCTTTATTTGTTTGATCTTTTTTGGTGTTCTTTGTGTTTTCCACTAGCCAGGCAAAAAAGAGATCACATGTCTTTTGCCGGGGCCCGATTTTTCCAGCCAAGATTTGAGGTCACATGGCCGCAGATTTCGGGGCTTTCAGGTCAAACCAAACGCCAGAACCCCAGAACCCCCCCCCCCCCAAGGGTGTCGTTTTTGCGCGTGAGTTGGGGGGTATTTTTTTGGAGTGGCTGTAAAAGGAGGCCAAGCGGAAAATCACCATATGTGCAAGGGTCAAAACACGTTATGTAGAGGTCTTCATTGCGGCCGCCGTGACATAACTGTTTTTTGAAAAACATGTGTGTAGCGACAGGGGGCCTTGAGTAGCGACACCCCTGTTTAGGGCTTGCATGTATGTAAGTCCCCATGAAACATGTTTGTAAGTACCTTTTTACTTGCATGGGAACGGAAGTACGTGCTGAAATCGTGGAAGTCTAAGTCCCGGCTGCGACGCAAGACAGGTTTGAAGGATCTCGTCTTGGCAGTTTGAGCGTTCCAGTTTAAGAGGTGCTCCGTCGCCTTGGCGGGGACAGGCGACGATGCAAGCAAAAAAGAGGCACCGTGCTTTTGAAGTAAGGTTCCGGCAGCCCCTGGGAAAAAATCCGGCACCCGTAGCGACACCCAAAGCGACACCTTTCAGATTATGGAGCGACACCCAAAATCCCTTCAGGTAGGCAGTTGCCCCTTCGCGTACTACACTTGTACTACAAAGTTGCGATTTTCAAGCTGGGGCTGCAGACGTGTACTTCGCGTGCTACACTTGTACTACAAAGCTGCGATTTTCAATCTGGGGCTGCGGACGTGTACTTCGAGTGCTACACTTGTACCACAAAGCTAGGAGCATGTCCTTGACGTAGAGGAGCCGGCGGGAAGTGACCGTCCCGTGTGTCGAGCAAGCACTACCATCTCTTCCGCAGTAGCCCATGGGGAAAAGGCATGAAAGGAAGGAGGTTGAGGCAAGCCTCATGTGGTGCTGAAAAGCTGAGACCTTCCAGCCGAGATGCGAGAAATGAGCTGGCGCTGTGTGTAGCGACAGGGGGCCTTGAAGAGCGACACCCCAGCCAGCCATGACAGCCAACCACAACACATGTTTTGACCGCCGCACATATGACATGGGATCCCCGCATACCCATTCAATTGCAAAAAGGCCTCAATACATCAACTGCCGGAGAACAAAACTACTGCTTTACCGACAACCTCATAACCAACAACCAACTACAAACTTTACACCCAACCACCTTGTTTTGGTAGTTGAGTTGAGACTACAAATTCAACCAACAAAAGGTGGACACTTGTTTCCCTAGAATTAGCCTCTTGGACTTTAATCAACTAAAAACAACTTTTAGTGGCACTAAAAAAACTAAGCTACTTGTTTTGCTCATCCACTCAACCGGAAGTGAGGAACACAAGAAGCAGGGCCTGGGCATGTTTTGTTTTTTTCCATTGTTTGTAATCAGCAGCCTCCCTGGTGTAAACACCCTTTTCAAGGGAGGCTGTTCATGTCAGCGCAAAAGGCAAGCCCTGAAGAAGGGCCCCTTAAAAGCGTTTTAAAACAAAAAACACGTTTTTGGGAAAGACCAAATGACACAAGAGGCAGGGTGTAGCCTTTCGTTTGTGCGTGGAGGACCTGAACGTGAACTACTTTGAGACCTCCATCCGCCACCTCGGGGGCCTTTTGTCGGCCTACGTGTCTTGAGCTTGAAATGAGAAAGAAACCAATGGGGTTGTAAAAATGGCTTCAATTGCCGTTTTGCTGGTTTCGTTTCCTTCAAAACCCGGAAAACACTGTTCCCTCAGAAAAAGGATAGCCCCCACATGGCTTTACTGGGCCTTTTGCTCAGCTTTTGGGCTTGGCGGATCCTTGGGCGACCATGAGAGACAAGAGACTCTATTTGCCGCACTGCTATGGCTGTGTGGCTGTTCGTGTGCTTGGTTTACTCGCAAACTAGGTCCCCCAGTAGTGCCAACTTCTACACCCTTTTTGGGGGAGGGTTTCCCTACTGAAATAGACTACAGAACAAAGGGTTATTCTAACCTCTCTACTGGAGGACCTAGCAAACATGCTTGGGGCATGCGCTGGGACTGTCATGGACCACAAGAGAGGGGCTATCAATGCGAAGAGGTTGACGGTCCCTTTGGGGAAATGGTCCGTGCAAGCTGGGTTCTGTCAGTTGGTGACAAGGAAGCCAACCATGTTTGGGTGCCCTATTTTGAGAGACACCCAAATATCCGCCTTGAAAAACATGTTTGGTGGGAGGACAACGTAAGGGGCTAAAGTCTATACTATTGCCATGTAATCATGCCAAGCATGTGGTTTTTTGAGCCCCCCCCCTCCCCCAACCTATATTGTCCCAGAAACCCTTTCTTTTGAAAGCCCCGTGGTATTCCCATTAATCTTGACCCCATGCAAATCGACCCCAGCTTATTGACAGGGGGGTGTTTCCTTCCGAAAGTGGTCTGATTTCCCACATTTCACCCAGAAAAGGACACCAACATGATGGGAATACAAACGCACCGTACTTGGGTTGGCTGAGTTCACAGGGGTTCCAAAGACCCGATGCCCTTGCCTGTTGATCATTGCCTTGAGGCTCATAGCCGCGAGCTCTGTCGCGGCTGTCGGCAAAGGGCTGAAGGGTATCCCCCGGTATTAGTCGACTGGGGTCGACTGGTGGAGAAATATGGGGTCAGCATTATGGCATTGGACCCTGCCCGTGTTTCTTCTTTCAACCCCATTTGTGTTTCATAATTCGTGGTCTGATCCTTACTTCGCCCCTACGAAGCGCCCTTTTTTGAGGCACGCGCCATGGGACGAAAATCCGAAGCGACGGCCGAGGTGTTTTCTCAGCGGAGCGGGCTGCTGCGCAAGGCCGCGGACCTCGCGACGCGCTTGGCCCATGCCTTCCCTTCCGACGGGCCCAAGGTGCGGATTCGCGCAGCCAGTTGGCGCTTCTCACTTTGGAGTTGAACCCAATTTTGGAGAGGGCAAGTGGGACACCACCCAAACAAGCCACCAATCCAGTCACTGAGAGGGAAACGGATTCTAGTTTGCAAGAGGTTCAGCTTTGTTTTGGGTTCTTTTGGCAAGCGGTTGGGCAAGTGTGTGGAGGGAATTAGGTAGTTGGAACACCCCAAACTGAACTATCCAACTTGTGGCTTCCTAGGGAATCCCCGCGGAACCATTGCCCAAACCCTTGAAACTTTAGAGCCTCCGGCTCAGTCCGCCGACATTGTCCTCTCCCTTTCCTCCGTCTCCCTCGTGTGTTCTGTCGTCCTCTCTCCCTCCCTCTGCTCCCCATCCTCCCCATCCCCCCAAGCCTGTCTCTCCTCAATCTCCCTCTCTCTGTCTCTCTCTCTCTCTCTCTCTCTCTCTCTCTCTCTCTCTCTCTCTCTCTCTCTCTCTCTCTCTCGCTCTCTCTCTCTCACTCTCTCTGTTTGTCTGTGTCTTTCTGTCTCCCTGTCTCCTTCCTGTCCACGCCCCTCCACAGAAAAAGGGTACCCCAACTCGAACCTCTCTACTCTCTCACTTTCTCGCTCTTTCTCTCTGTCTCTCTCTCTCTCTCTCTCTCTCTGTCTTTCTGTGTCTCTCTTTCTCAGTCTCTCTCTTTCTGTCTCTCTCTCTCTCTGTCTCTCTCTCTCTCTCTGTCTGTCTCTTTCTCTATTTCTCTGATTCTGGCTCTGTCTCTGGCTCTGTCTCTGTCTCTCTCTCTCTCTGTCTCACTCTCTGTGTCTCTCTCTCTCTCTCGCTCTCTCTCTCTCTCTCTTTGTCTCTCTCTCTCTCTCTCTCTCTCTCTCTCTCTCTCTCTCCCTCCCTCCTCTCTCTCTCTGCATTGCAGCGTCACGTCCCCCCTGAGTTGCCTCGATGTCCGGGTACTGCCCCTTCATGAACTGGCTTTTTTGTTGATTTCCCCTCCATGTCCTTTTCACGTTTCCTATGATGTCCTGGTCATGTCCCTTTCATGCCTTGCAACTCCCCCTTCAGGTCCCTGACATTTTCTCGGTATGTCCGCTTCACTTTCCATGTATGTTCCGTTCTTTCGTTGCGAGTCATTTCCCTACATCTCCCGTTGTGCCGATTGGTGTCCTTGTTCTTCGTTTCCCTCTCATTCCCCCTGCACTCCCCTTGTTTTCATTTCTGTCCCGTGCATGTCCCTTTCAGTTCCCCTTTGTTTCCCTTTCATTTCCCGCTGCTTTCCTGTCATGTCGACTTCCTATTTCCTCTCCTGATTTCCTTGCACTTCCTTGCATTTCGCGTTTTCGCAATTAGGACGTCCAAAAACACAGAGTTTTTCCAGATTTTCGGGAAAAGGAGGCAGGAACCGCAAACCAGCAAAGAGCCGGCAGGGGGAATCGAGCCTGGGACCCCCTGTTTTGCGACACCGGCTCCCCGAAGACTACGTTTAGTGGAACGTCATCAAATTGCCGCGCGGTAGGCGGGGGAGGGGGGGGGTGGCAGGGAAGAATGAGTCCTATGCGTCGCCGCGCGTTTTTTTGCATTTGAGCACCACTTCATGTTACATGCTCATGCACACACACTCACACCAAAACTCTATTCCCACATGGTGCTACAGAGATAATATGCGCTTACCATGCACAAGGATACTGCTGAATAAATAGACACTTGGTTCAAACATGTGTGTTATTTTCTCGTGTGCATGTTTCAATTTCAATTTCATGACCAGCAAAAGAAATGCAAGCACGCAGCTAAGTAATATTGTCCGTGGCCTAACACAGGGCACAGGCGTGCAGCTAGGTTCGATGTCAGGAGACTGACAAAGGCCACAGGTGCACAACTAAGTCCTGTTTGCTAAGTATTCTACTTATCATCAGTCTTCGAATTCATTCTTATCATTCTTCCCAAAGGGACGGGTGACTTTTGGGGAATTCAAATATTGTTTGTTTTAATCATTTTATTTCTTAGACTTGCTCTAAGTATTCGAACCACTGCCAAAGGGACGGGTGCCTTTTTTGGAATTCAAGAGTCCTCTGCGCTAACTGTTCTACTTATCATCAGTCTTCCAATTGTAATTGTTATTCCCAAAGGGACGGTGCCTTTGGGGAATTGAAGATTGTTTTTGCAAATTATACTACTTAGCAAACCTCTTGTAATTGTTTTTGTCATGAGTTCCAAAGGGATGACTTTGGGGAATTCAATATTCATGTTTGCTGGTTGCTTTTGTAAACTATTCTACTTATCATAACTCTTCTAATTCATTCTTACCATTCTGCCCAAAGGGACGGGTGACTTTTGGGGAATTCAAATATTGTTTGTTCTAATCAGTTCATTTCTTAGACTTGCTCTAAGTATTCGAACCACTGCGAAAGGGACGGGTGCCTTTTTGGGAATTCAAGAGTCCTCTGTGCTAATTGTTCTACTTATCATCAGTCTTCTAATTATAATTGTTTTTCCCAAAGGGACGGGCGCCTTTGTGGAATTGCAGATTGGTTTTGCAAATTATACTACTTAGCATACCTCTTCCAACTAGTTTTCTCATGAGTTCCAAAGTGATGACTTTGGGGAATTCAATATTCATGTTTGCTGGTCGTTATTGAAAATTATTCTACTTATCATAACTCTTCTAATTCATTCTTACCATTCTTCCCAAAGGGACGGGTGACTTTTGGGGAATTCAAATATTGTTTGTTTTAATCAGTTTATTTCTTAGACTTGCTCTAAGTATTCGAACCACTGCCAAAGGGACGGGTGCCTTTTTTGGAGTTCAAGAGTCCTCTGAGCTAACTGTTCTACTTATCATCAGTCTTCCAATTGTAATTGTTATTCCCAAAGGGACGGTGCCTTTGGGGAATTGAAGATTGTTTTTGCAAATTATACTACTTAGCATGCATCTTCTATCTTTTCTTCATGAGTTCCAAAGTGGGACGGGTGACTTGGGAAATTCAGTATTCATGTTTGCTGGTTGTTTTTGTAGATTATTCTACTTATCACTCCTCTTCTAATTCATTCTTATCACTCTTCCCCAGGGGGGGATTCAAAATTCTCTTTTGTTCTAATCATTTTTTCTTAGACTTGCTCTAAGTCTTCGAACCACTGGCAAAGGGACGGGTGCCTGCTTTGTTATTCCCAAAGGGACGGGTTCCTTTGGGAATTGAAGATTGGTTTTGCAAATTATACTACTTAGCATACCTCTTCCAACTAGTTTTCTCATGAGTTCCAAAGGGGTGACTTTGGGGAATTCAATACCCATGTTTGCTGGTTGTTTTTGTAAAGTATTCTACTTATCAGAACTCTTCTAATTCATTCTTATCATTCTTCCCAAAGGGACGGGTGACTTTTGGGGAATTCCAGTTATTGTTTGTTCTAATCATGTATTTCTTAGACTTGCTCTAAGTCTTCGAACCACTCCCAAAGGGACGGGTGCCTTTTTGGGAATTCAAGAGCCCTCTGTGCTAACTGTTCTACTTAACATCAGGCTTCCAATTATAATTGTTATTCCCAAAGGGACGGGCGCCTTTGGGGAATTGAAGATTGTGTTTGCAAATTATACTACTTAGCATACCTCTTCCAACTAGTTTTCTCATGAGTTCCAAAGGGATGACTTTGGGGAATTCAATATTCATGTTTGCTGGTTGTTTTTGTATTCTACATATCATTACTCTTCTAATTCATTCTTATCATTCTGCCCAAAGGGACGGGTGACTTTTGGGGAAATCCAAATATTGTTTGTTCTATTGATTGTATTTCGTAGACTTGCCCTAAGTATTCGAACCACTCCCAAAGGGACGGGTGCCTTTTTGGGAATTCAAGAGTCCTCTGTGCTAATTGCTGTACTTCTCATCAGTGTTCTAATTATAGTTGTGACCTCTTCCAACTAGTTTTTCTCATGAGTTCCAAAGGGATGACTTTGGGGAATTCAATATTCATGTTTGCTGGTTGTTTTTGTAAATTATTCTACTTATCATAACTCTTCTAATTCATTCTCATCATTCTTCCCACAGGGACGGGTGACTTTTGGGGAATTCAAATATTGTTTGTTCTAATTATGTATTTCTTAGACTTGCTCTAAGTCTTCGAACCACTCCCAAAGGGACGGGCGCCTTTTTGGGAATTCAAGAGTCCTCTGTGCTAATTGTTCTACTTGTCATCAGTCTCTAAGTGCACTTGTTTTCCCAAAGGGACGGGTGCCTCTCGGGATGGAATATTCATGTTTGCTAACTACTCTGCTTATCATAACTCTTCTAGTTCTTCTCCCAAGGGACGGGTCACTCTTGGGGAAGTCCAAATTAATTGTTGTTCTAAACATTGTGTGTCTTATACTTGTTCTCAGTGTTCGAACCACTGCCAAAGGGGCGGGTGCCTTTTTGGGAATTCAAGAGTCCTGTTTGCTAATTATCATCAGTCTTCTAATCATAATTGTTATTCCCAGAGGGACGGGTGCCTTTGGGGAATTGAAGATTGTTTTTGCAAATTATACTACTTAGCACACCTCTTCTAAGTATTCTCTCATGAGTTCCAAAGGGATGACTTGGGGGAATTCAATAATATTCATGTTTGCTGGTTGTTTTGTAAATTATTATACTTATCATAACTCTTCTAATTCGTTCTTATCATTCTTCCCAAAGGGACGGGTGTCTTTTGGGAAGTCAATTTTCTAATCATTTTATTTCTTAGACTTGCTCTAAGTATTCCAACCACTGCCAAAGAGGCGGGTGGCTTGTTGGGAATTCAAGAGTCCTCTGTGCTAATTGTTCTACTTATCATCAGTCTTCTAAATATAATTGTTTTTCCTGAAGGGGCGGGTGCCTTTGTGGAATTGAAGATGGCTGTTGTGCAAATTATACTACTTAGCATACCTCTTCTAATTAGGTTTCTCTTTATTTTGAAATGGACGGGTGACTGTTACATTGGTGGAATTCCAAATTTATGTTTGCGCTAATCATTGTGCGTCTTATAATTGCTCTAAGTATTCGATCCACCCCCAAAGGGACGGGTGCCGTTTGGGGAATTCAAAAGTCCTGTGTGCTAAGTATTCTACTTGTAAACCGTCCTCTAAATACAAATGCTAGTCTCAAAGGGACGGGTGCGTTTGGGGAATTAAAGATTGATTTTGCAAATAATAATACTTCTCATAACTCTTCCAATTAATTCTTCTCATTACTCCCAACGGGTGCCTCTTGGGGACTTCCAGATTCATGCTTGTTCTCATCATTCTACGTCTTTGCATTGCTCTAAGTATTCGAACCACTCCCAAAGGGACAGGCGTCTTTTGGGGAATTGAAGAGACCTGTTTGCTAAACAGTCTACGTATCATCAGTCTTCTAAATATAATTGTTATTCCCAAAGGGACGGGTGCCTTTGGGGAATTGAAGATTGTGTTGCGCAAATTATTCTACTTATTCCGAACTCGTCTAGTTAATTATTCTCATTATTCCCAAAGGGGCAGGTGCTTTTGGGGACTTGCAGATTCATGTTTGTTCTAATCATTCTAAGTCTTTTAATTGCTCTAAGTATGCGGACCACTCCCAAAGGGACGGGCGCTTTTTTTGGAATTCCAGGCCAGTCTTTCACCAAGGGACGGGAGCAGTTGGCGAATTCCAGAATCATGTGTTTTCTAATCATCCTTCGTCTTCTTCCCAAAGGGACGGTTGCCTTTTGTGGAGTTTCAGATTCAAATTTGCTCTAGTTATTCTACTTTTTACAACAATAATCATTCTCTAACTTGTTCCAAAGAGGGGTACCTTTTTGGGAAATCCAGCATACATATTTGATAAAGTTATTCGAATCATTCAAACAACTCGAACAATTCTAATGGTTCTGGATACTTTCAATTGGCCGGGTGCCATTTGGGGAAGTCCAGATTCATGTTGCGCTAATCATTCTACTTCCCTAGTTATTCAAATTTATTGATTTCTTCTTAAAGAAAGGGTGCGAAGGGTGCCTTTTGGGGAAACTAGATTCATGCTTCTTGTAACTTGTTTTTGTGGATTTCCAGGCTCTTCTGTGTTCCCAACGGCACGGGTCCCTTCTGGGGAATTTCAGATTAATGGTTGCTCCCATGATCCCAATTATGTTCTTCCTTCTATGTATTCCCAAAGGGACGGGTGACGCGCGCCTTTTGAGGAATTCCAATTCCAGAGTCATGTGTGTGTTCCAATTATTCCTATCTACTCAAATTATTCTAACTATTCTTAAAGGATCGTGTACTTCTTGAGGAATTCAAGATCTTATACTTATTATACGTGTTTTGCTTTTGCTTTTTCAAAGTACTCAAATTCTTCCAAGGTGAATTCCAATAACTCCAAAAATTGCAATAGTTGGGGGTCCCGGATTTTGCAATTAATTATTGCAATTATTGAAAGTCAGTTGCAATTGTTGCAAATATTGGAATTAGTTGGCCTGGATTGGGGCCAAATCTGGGATCAATTCATATCTACAATGGAAGTATTGGAATTCAACTCCAATGATTGCAATAATTGTAATATTTGAAGGTCCCGGATTTTGGAATTATTGCAAATAGTGGAATTGAATTCCAATAATTGCAATAATTGAAATATTCGGAGGTCCCGGATTTTGCAATTATTGCAATTATTGGAATTGAATTCCAATAATTGCAATAATTGCAATAATTTCAGGTCCCAGATTTTGCAATTATTGCAATTATTGGAATTCAATTCCAATAATTGCAATATTTGCAATATTTGGAGGTCCCGGATTTTGCAATTATTGGAATTAGTCGGCCCGGCTTTGAGGCCAAATCTGGGATCAATTATTGCAATTATTGCAATTATTGCAATTATTGCAATTGCAATATTGCAATTATTGATTTTGCAATTATTGGAATTGAATTCCAATAATTGCAATAATTGCAATATTCGGAGGTCCCGGATTTTGCAATTATTGGAATTGAATTCCAATAATTGCAATAATTGCAATATTTGGAGGTCCCGGCTTTTGCAATTATTGCAATTATTGGAATTGAATTCCAATAATTGCAATAATTGCAATATTTGGAGGTCCCGGATTTTGCAATTATTGCAATTATTGGAATTCAATTCCAATAATTACAATCAATAATTTCAGGTCCCAGATTTTGCAATTATTGCATTTATTGGAATTCAATTCCAATAATTGCAATAATTGCAATAATTTCAGGTCCCGGATTTTGCAATTATTGCAATTATTGGAATTGAATTCCAATAATGCAATAATTGCAATATTTTCAGGTCCCGGATTTTGCAACTATTGGAATTAGTCGGACCGGCTTTGAGGCCAAATCTGGGATCAATTAATTATTGCAATTATTGCAATTATTGCAATTATTCGAATTGAATTCCAATAATTGCAATAATTGCAATATTCGGAGGTCCCGGATTTTGCAATTATTGCAATTATTGGAATTAGTTGGCCCGGCTTTGAGGCCAAATCTGGGATCAATTAATTATTGCAATTATTGCAATGATTGCAAATATTGGAATTCAATTCCAATAATTGCAATAATTGCAAAATCCGGGACCTGAAATTATTGCAATTATTGCAATTATTGGAATTGAATTCCAATAATTGCAATAATTGCAAAATCCGGGACCTGAAATTATTGCAATTATTGCAATTATTGGAATTGAATTCCAATAATTGCAATAATTGCAAAATCCGGGACCTCCAATT